ACCGGGAGTTGGAGACCAGCCGGGGCAGCAGGGCGAGCCCCAGTCTCTGCAAGCAATCCCAGGAGGAGCTAGGCGTGGGGGTGCGCCCCTGTGGTCCCGGCTGCACGGGAGGCTGAGGGGGAAGGATCGCCTGAGCCCAGGAGGTCGGGGGCTCCAGAAATGAAAAAAGGAAAAGAAAAAAAGGAGCCGCGGACGGCCGGAGAGAACCGAAGTGGGCGTGGGCGACAGAGAATCCCAGAGCGGCAAAGCCAGGGGTCAGACGCGAGATGGGCCCCCAAGCAAGGCCGGATGACGGGGCAGAGAGAAACCCAGCCTCGCGGAGGTTCGGCTGCCCACCAGGGCTCGCCGCCGGCGTGGGCACTCACGTCAGCTCCTGGGTGACCTGGGAGCTGAGCAGCTCCTCCTGCACCTCATCAGACAGCGTCTGCACCCAGCGCAGGTAATCCCAGAGGCGGCCCAGCGCCGCCTCCCAGGGCTGGCCGCTCTGCCACTCGGCCGGCTTCCGCAGCTCGGTCTCCAGCTCCGGCTCCACGTCGGCCCGGCCTCCTGCGCGGAGCGAGTTCCGGGTGGGTCAGCGGCCTGCTGCCCTGTCGCGGCACACAGGGCCGAGGACAGGGCAGGCGCGCCACCGACCCTCGGGAGCCATGGCGAGCAAGGGAGGGGGTGGCGTTGGCTTGGTCGCTGGGCACGCACTGAGCGGGTGGGCCTCATGCAGGCTGTGCCGGGTCGAGGGAGAAGAGAGGTGGTCCCAGCAGATACTCGTCTAGGGTCCCTTGCTTACCTGACAGCAATGCGTTGGAAACTGTTATAAAACTCCCATTTCATGGACGGGGCAAACAGAGGCCGGGAGAGGCTAAAACCCCTGCTCAGAGCCAGCGGACGTCAGAGAGGCCTCGGACCTGGGCCTCCCCGTCGAGGGGGAGACGGACCAGCAGGAGAAGAGGGCACCCCGGGCCTGAACGGATGGGAGGGGGAGGGGCGGGGTACCTGCCAGGAAGGTGACCAGCAGCACGGCCCACAGAACCTTCATCTTCCCGCCTGCGATTGGGCGGCCTGGGGAGAAACTGTCCATCAACAGCCAGGGAAGGCTCCTCCCCGCCTCGCCCACCCCGGCCCGGCCTTCAACGCCTCGTCCCCTGAGCCGCCTAATCCGCGCACAGACGGGACGGAGCCGCCCCTCGTGGCCTGTTTAACGCCCGCCCCCCGTGACCGTCTCCTGTCTCCTCATCCTCGGGTCAGCCTGCGTTGCCGAAAGTCCGTCTCCCTCTCCCAGGGTTCAAATTCCACCCCACCCCCGCCCTCCCGCAAGTTCCATCTGAGCCCCCAACTGGGCTCTGGAAATTCCAGCTCCGCATTCCTCCTCCTCCCTCCCTCCACATTCTCAGCTCCGACTTCACGTCTAAGCGCCGCTTTCCACTGACGAGCTAACTGACTCCTCATTCAAGCCCTCCAGTTCTCACTTTAAAGGCCTCCCGTCGACGTGCAGCGACCCTGTCGCTGCCCCTGGGCCCCCAGCCAGGAAGATGTGAAGACGGGAGGGGCACCCAGCAGGTGCTCACTAAATCTCAACACCGACTCGGGGGGTCACACTAGGGCTCGTCTCCCGGTTCTTCCTACGGGACTCACTGCACGCCCCCACCTTCTAGCCTGGATGGGACGCCCCCACCGCCCAGCCCTGACTAGGTGCAGTCCCCTGCCCCTGGCCTCACCCCCAGCTCCTGCGTCTGTCGCGACTCGGGAATAGACCCGTCGCCTCCTCTCCCCCACCCGGTCCCCAAGTGGCTCTCCTGAGACTTCGGTCTCCCGAAGGCCGGGGGTTCCCTGTGGTCCCGACTGTGCTTCTCACCGGCTCCGGGGAAACCACGTCCTCCACCTCCGCTGGGTCTGAGTAGGACTCCGGGATCCCAGACTCGTCCGATTATAGGGCTCCCCCAGCCCCGCCCCCTCCCCAGGGCTGGGCCAGCCCCCAGTCACGAGGTGGGCTGTTCCTCCCCCACACACGCACACACACAGCAGGGTGGAGGAAGGAGGTGGGGCTTGGAGGCCTCTTGACCCCCACCTCCCCGGGAGGTGAAGATGACACCTCACCCAGTAATGCAGGCACCCCTCGCCATCCGGGGGGCTGAGGACTGAGGCTACCACCGAGGAATGCCCTGTCTTGCCCCTTGCCTTGCCAGCGGAGGGGTGAATTGCCAAAGAAAGGGGCTGGGGCCCTGGACTCCTGGGTCTGAGGTGGGAGCAGGGGGCTGGATTCCTGGGACCCAGAACGGGGGTCTAGGGGCAGGCAGATATGGGATGGAATTGGTGGGAACAGCGTGATGCCTCTGCTGAGAAAGCCTAGGCTTTGCTGCTGGGTTAGGACTCTCGGACCAGACTGCCAGGCCTTGAGTCCTGGCTCTGCCAGTTGCCAGCTGTGACCTTGGGCAAATGACCTAGCCTCTCCGAGCATCCAGCCTCTTTGCTGCTAGCGATGGGACACAGCCTGGGCACCATAGCGAGACCTCATCTCTACAGAAATTCAGAAAATTAGCCAGGTGTAATGGCGCACGTCAGGAGTCCCAGCTACTTGGGAGGCTGAGGTGGGAGGATCACGGGAGCCCAGATCCTGCCACTGCACCCCAGCCTGATCAACAGAGACCCCCGACTTGGGACAAAAGAACTGGGCCGGCAGCTGCATCTATACCAGTCTGGTGAGACAGCGTGATTCAGCCTCGAGGTGAACTGCAAGGCCACACACACATTCGAGGAGCTGGGCTTCGTTCCTGGCTCGGCCAGGGGTGGGAACACAGGATTCTGTAGGGTCAGGGGAGGCTTGGGAAGTCCCAGCATCAGGCCTGTTTGCTTTGGCCTCAGAGAGTGGGTGAGGTGGCCTCTGCGGGTAACTTGGGGTCAGCTGTACCGGCGGCCTCCCTCCCCATGCCCTGGGTACAGACGAGGTTTCAGTTCCCTTGTCTGGAGAGAGGCAGGGGTGGTGATGGGCATCAGCTGACTTGAGCCCGAGGCTGGCAGAATCCCAACACCTCCTTGTGGGATACAGTGGCCCATCCCCGCCATTCCACCACCACCCAGGAGTCGGCCTGCAGTCCTCCCAAGGCCCAAGAGTCCTTGCACCCAAGCCCTTCTCCCCCTCAGACCCAGGAGTCCATAGTTCCTTAGTGGTTTTGAAGCTTTTGGCCAGGCACGGTGGCTCACACCTATAATCCCGGCACTTTTGGGGAGGCCAAGGCGGGAGGAATGCTTGAGCCCAGGAGTTCAAGACCAGCCTAGACTCTACAAAAAAACATTTTTTAGTTGAAATTTTGCTCTGTCACCCAGGATGGAGTGCAGTGGCACACTCATGGCCACCGCAGCCTCAACCTGCTGGGCTCAGGTGATCTTTCCGCCTCAGCCCTCCAAGTAGCTGTAACTACAGGCGCATGCCACCATGCCCAGCTTATTTTTCGATTTATTGTAGAGACGAGGTCCCAGCAAGTTATCCAAGCTGGTCTTGAACCTCTGAGCTCAGGCAACCCTCTCACCTCTGCCTCTAAAACTGCTAGGATTACAGGCACAAACCACCATGCCCAGCTCCACAAAAAAAAATTCTGAGTCAGAGTCTCACTCTGTCACCCAGACTGGAGTGCAGTGGCTGCTCCGGCCACCGCAGCCTCAACCTGCTGGGCTCCAAGATCCTTCCGCCTCAGCCTTCCGAGTAGCTGAACTACAGGTGTGCACTTCCACGCCCGGCTCATCTTTTGACTTATTGTAGAGACGAGCTCTCACCAAACTCCCCAGGCTGATCTCGAACCCCTGAGCCCAGGCAATCCTCTCATCTCTGCCTCCCAAAGTGCTGGGATTACAGGCTTGAGCCGCCGCTCCCGGCAAAAAATTTCTTAAAAGTTAGCTGAAGCCAGCCGCGGCTCGGCTCGCAGGGACAAAGTCCTCCGCGGCCCCTCTGGCCAGGCCACGCCGGGGCGGTGACCTCAGACCCTGCCCTTCCGGTGGGGGAGGCCTCCTGGCGGGGGATGCAGAGGCCGGCGGTCCGGCCAGGCTCTTCCCCCAGGTGCGCCACCGCGCCGGGGATGCTGCGGCTGCCGCCGCCGCTCGCCCTCCGGCTCCCCCTGCTGGCGGCGGTGGGAAGGCCGGGGCGCGCGGACTGCAGACGCTCAACAAAGGCGACTCTTGGGGAAACCGAGGCCTCCCGTCGCGCTCGGTTTTTTCCATGTGTATTTTTTGTTGTTTTTTGCTTTTTTCTGTAAAATGTCCCGGTTCTTCCATAACTTATAAACATGATTTACGCCGAGGGGGAGACGGGAAAGGGGATGGGCGGGCTGACGGGACGGGGAAGCTCCTCTTGCTGCCACCGGGTTGGCCGGCCCTTCGGAGGACGCGGGCGCCAGGACACTCCTCCCTGAGCTCGTCTGGCCGCCTCTGCCCCGGTGCTCAGAATCCTGCGTGCCCTCGATCCGGAATCCCTGCCGGGACGCCCCAGGCCCACCGGGCATGCTGCCCTGGTGCTCAGAATCCCGGAGCACCCTCGGTTCCAGAATCCCCTCCTCAGCTGCTGGGTGGTGGGCTCCCTCCTTTCCGCTGTCCCCCGCCCCCGAGGAGGGAGGGAAGGGAAGGGGAGGGGGGCTCAGGTCTCCCCTCCAAGGCAGGGGCGTGGAGGTGGGATCTGGAGGAGGAGGGGCGTGGAAGGCGGGGCCAGGGGGCTCAGCCAATGGTGAGGCCAAAGCCACACTGGAACTTGTTCTTGCGGTGGTTCAGGAAGGCCCCGAGTGCCAGCGTCAGGGGCAGCGGCGGGAGCTTCTTCTCCAGCGTGGCGCCCACGATCCAGTTGCTGTCCACGGAGCCTGTGGGCACGCAAGTGAGGTGAGACGTGGTCCGGCTTCCCTCCCTGCCCCGTGCGATCCCGCGCTGGGCCCTCTCAGAGACAGCCACGTGCCAACTGCTATCAGATCCAGGCCATGCTGCTCCCGCCCCCCAGAAACCCCATCTCACCCAGGAGCACTCGGCTCACTTCTCAGTTCGGTGGCCTCTGCCCCCTGGGAAGCTCTCCATGAGTCAGGGCTCCCCCTACCCAGTTCTGCCCATTCTGGGTTGTCAGTCTCGGGGGATAGGTTCTGTCCCCCCAACTGGGAGCCCCATGGAGACAGGGCTGGTCACTGCTGTGTCCCAGCCCCAGTTAGCATAAGGCGGGGCATATGGCCCAAGAGTTTGAGACCACCTCATGCCTACCCCCCCAAAAAAAAGGCCGTGTAAAACCGGGTGTGGTAGTTAGTGCTCACCTGGAGTTCTAGCTACTTGGAAAGGGCTGAGTTAGAAGGATTGGCTGAGCCCAGCAGGTCTAGGTTGTGGTGGCTGTGAGCATGCCACTGCACTCCAGCCTGGGCCACAGAGTGAGACTCAAAAAAAAGAAAGAAAGAAAAAAAAGCAAGCCGGGTGTGGTGGCATGTGCCTGTAATCCCAGCTACTCGGGAGGCTGAGGGGTATGGTGAGCTGTGATGGTGCCACTGCACTCTAGCCTGGGTGAGAGTGAGACTTCAACTCAAAAAACAACAACAAAAATAAATTTCTTCCAGGAATCACCTTCAAGCACAGAGTTGTACTATGGAAAAGGATTAGAACTCACTTAACAGAAGCTAGGAAGTAGGCTGGAACTCAAACCTACCCCCCATAATCGTGGACTGCAGACCAAGGGGTTCAGAGGCTGGTGGGGAAGGTGGACTCCACAAACATATAAATCCTGCCACAAGCCCTGCCCAGGTCTAGACAACGGGTCTTGGGTGGCTTCTTTTTTTTTTTTTTTTAAATTTGAGTTGGAGTCTCACTTAATTGCCCAGGCTGGAGTGCAGTGGCACACTCAGGCCACCCCAGCGTTGACCAGCTGGGCTCCGGTGATCCTTCCACCTCAGCCTTCCAGGTAGCCAGAACTACAGGCGTGCGCTACCATGCCCAGCTAATTTTTTGATTTATTGTAGAGACGAGGTCTCGCCAAGTTGTCTGGGCTGGTCTCAAACCTGTGGGCTCAGGCAATCCACTCACCTCGGCCTCCAAAAGGGCTGGGATTACAAGCTGAGCCACTAAGTCTGGCCTTGGGTGGTTTCTAAACACACAAAACTTGACAGCCACCGAGGTCTGAGAAGACAGACTTAAGAATGGACACCAGGACTAGAGCCAATCGGCCTAGGGGGAAGTTCTGGGTCTAGCTGTGACCACATGGCCTTTGGGAGCCTCAGTTTCAGGCAGATGCTTTCCAGGCTGCCCTCCATTATGCATGAAGAACAAGGGGCTGCGTGCAGAGCGTGGTGGAGAGGTGCATGCCCACCCATGTCCCATTTCCCCTCACCCAGCACCCAGGGAGTCTAGAGGTCCACAAAGCCTGGCACACTGCCCTCTGTCATCGGCCTGGCCCCCACCTACTTGGCACTGAGTCACCTCTTGCCTGTGTCCCTTGTTGGGACACAGAGGCCTTTACCTTTGAAGAGGAGGTTGGCCTTGGGCAGGTCCAGCTGGTACCCGAAGGAGACACTGGTGTCCTGCATCCTTGTGCTGGCCTCAAACTCCACACCCACCTGTAGCTGGAGGAGCCAGGGAGACACACAAGAGTTAGCGGCCCAGTCGCAGTTTCTGGGCACACAGCCCCCAGCAACACCAGCTGCGAAAGCACGCCCTTGAGGCACACCCGGACCAGCTCACCTGGTCACTGGCTTTGTGGTAGTATGTTGCGTGCATGCCCGCCTGGCCCAGTGTTACTGTTGCTAGCCAGTTGTTCACTGGAAGAAAGCAGGGTGGGGGAGAAGGCAGGTTACTAAGGGGACCAGCATCTGGAACCAGGAGTCCAGGCCTCAGCCCCTCCTCCCTCAGACCCAGGAGTCCAGGCCCCAAGCTCACATGTGTATTTCCCAGCTAGAGACATGACGGTGCCCTCCTCCCCAGGCCGCCTGTGGTAGACGAGCTCTCCGCCCAGGGCCAGACAAGGTGTGATGCTCTGGAGGTAGTGGGCTACGAGGATTCCTGCAGGCAAGGTGAAGGTCAGTTTCTACCCAGCCAGGGTACCAGTCAGACTCTCTATTCCAGGAAGCCCTCAAGGCAGCCCCTGCAGGAGGCTTGGGCCTGCCCTCAGGCCTCCAATGCCCACTCCCTGCTCCTAGCGGTTCACACCACCTCGCAGTTCACACAGGCCCTGTGGTGACTGATTTCCTGTAGGACCTCATCTGGTCTACACAAGCCCACGTGGCTGGCATTCATCCGCTACCACTTACAGAGGTCACTGTGACACAGAGGGTGTCACTCCCTCATGGGCACAGTGTCTGTCAGGGGCAGAATCCAGGCCTCTACACCTCCTGAGCCCAGCCTCTGAGCCACTCTGTCACTAGAATAGGCAGGGGGGTGAGCGGTGAGAGCATGCAGCCTGAGTCCAAATCCTACCCCATCACTTGCCAGCTAGGGATGGGGACACGGGTGTCACTTCTGTTAACTTGATTGCACCGGGGTTGTGAAGACTGAGTCCTCGACTGTCACTTGACTGTCACCCGCACTTGTTATGGTGAAGCCCTGGTCTGGGCCCTGCTCCCTCCACAGCAGGGCACGCTCTGAGCCCTGAGGAGTGTTTGCTGACCAAGGGAGCTGCTGGGCTGGGAGCGTGGATGTGCCTTTACCTTGGAAGGTGGCAGAGTACACACCACGGGGGCGATTATACAGGGCGATGAAACACCGGGCAGGGAGAGAGATGAAGGAGAAAACCAGCTGGGCAGGGCGGCTCATGCCTGGAACCAAGCAAGGGGAGGCCGCAGCAGGAAGACTGCTGGAGGCCAGGAGTTCGAGACCAGCCTGGGCAACACAGTGAGATCCCATCTCAACAACAACGCAACTTAAATATAAAGAAAGAGAAAACAAACGACCCATCTGCAGAGATGGGGAAGCAGAACAGATTCCCCAGTTAAGAAATCCCCTCAGACTGAACTGACAGAGATAGGTTCCCAGGTTCAGGCCCGGAAAAGAGCAATGTGTGGGTGGGTGGGGGGGTGGGGGCAGAAAGAGAATCTGGTCAGGACATAGCAGGGGCTCCAAGCTGCTTTCCAGGCGAAGAAAACCAAGGTTCAGGTCCGGGCCCCATGGGCAACAGGCTCTCTGTGGAGCAAGGGAGGACTCTCCCACCTGAGGGCACAGCCAGCTGGGCTGCAGGGGGACAGCCCCCAAGACGGGCCAAGCGGGACCAAGGGCGGCCAAGAGTTCACGGCCAGCGCCTGGTGGTCTCTTCCAGGGAGCCTGGGGTCGGCCCTGCAGGCTCATGCCAGCCACTGTGTACATCTCTTTCCTCCACTGAACAGACAGTACAAATTAACTCCCCGTCTCGGCAAAACTGATGGTCAGTCACCATCACTACCAGTCTGGTTAGTACCATCCACTCGTTCAATCGAGGGGGAAACTGAGGCCCACAGATGGAGAAGTAGTCACCTGGAGCCAGAGACAAAGACTAAAATACAGGACGTGTGGCTTCGGAGCTCTGGGCACTACTGGAACCAAGGCCAGACCCTCGAGCACCTCTCTGGCCACCCCCATTTCCTGGGCCACACCTTGCCTGCTTCTCCACCCGGTCTCCTCTTTAGCGTCCTGTCCCAGTCTCGCCCTCTCCAGGCGACCTCCCATACAGCAGACAGAATATGTCCTTCAAGCCGAAACCAGACTATGTCCACCACCTGCCCAGGCTCCCCAGTGCCCCGGAAAGCTCTTGGCCCCCACAGCTGCCCTGGACGGCTTGGCCCCGGCTTCAAAACAGAGTGACTTCCCCTTCCCATCACAGCCAACCATGCTCACCTCTGGGCTGCCCAGATCCACTGAGCTTTCCTTCCCTTTCTGACCTCAGGCTATGCCCACCGGCCCTTCTGCCAGTGAACCCTTCCCTCTGCTGTCCAGCTAGACATCTGCACCCGAGTGTTTCCTAGACCTGGCTACTTCTCCAGCACGCCCCTGATCAAAGCCACGGTCACTGTGGGGCCTTCACACTCACCCTTGGGGGATGGAGTGGACGAGAACAGAGCAGCCCCCTGGGGACTGTGAGAACCAAAAGTAGATCCTGGTCTCCAGCGAAAGGGCCTCATCTGGAGAGTGAGAAAATCCACCCATTCCCAAGCTGCACCTGTTCCCTCTGCCCCCACCCAGTGCTGCCGGCCTCTGGGGCTGCCTGCAGGCTGCTCTACTCGCTCACAGACCCTGCTCTTCCCTGCCCCACCCCCTGCCACGTACCCCACCCTCCTGAACCCAGTCCTTTCCCACTGTGACTTCTAGATTGTCTATACTGCCTCCCTGTTGCACTGTGAGCTCCATGTGGGCGGGGCTGTGTCTAGACCAGCAGCCCCACTGGGCTCTTCTGCAATGGCTGCAAACACATCCGGTCGTCACAACTTGGGGTGGGGGTGCTACTGGCATCTAGGGGGCAGAGGCCAGGGACAGCCCCAGAGAACAGCCTGGCCAAATGTCAACAGCGCAGCGCTGAGGCTGAGAAACCCCAGACTAGCTTCGTGTATAATTTCCAGCACCGGCGACGGTACCTGGCGCCTCACAGGCGATCAATGAATTGTATTCAGTGACAAGGCACAAACATGGGGCCTAAGAACCCAGCGAGCTCAAAGCCCCACAGAAGGCAAGGGGTCGGGTCTGTGAGAGCAAAGGGAAGGCGGGTCCTGACCGGGTGTCCGAGGAGAGAACAGCAGAGCCCAGGCAGGCGCGCCGTGGGGCAGCACCGGGGCCTCTGGGCATCACCATGCAGCCCTCCCTTCGGAAAGCTGTCCCTGCCTCCAGGTGAGACGGGGCCCCTTGACTGAACTTATCCTGAATGGGATTCCTCAGGATGGCTGGCAAGTTCACAGTAAGAGGGACGGGCCTCCCCCACAGGACACCAGGGCTGCTGAGGCCCATCAGGCCTCCTTCCAAATCCCAGCTCCTCTGCCTTCTAGCCCTGTGATCCTGGACACCTGACTCCACCCTGGGCCTCACTGTCCCCACCTGTGAAACGGGGGTCGCCAGCAGACTCTCTCCTCATGCGGCAGGGTGCCATGGAGACCCAAGCACAGGGCAAGCACTAACTATGCATGAGCCCGTGCCTAAGGTCGAGAAGACAGGCCACCCACTGAATCCTTTCCCGGGAAGTAGTTGCCCATGTGGCAGAAGAGAAGACTGAGGCTCAGGGAGTGGAGCCAACTGGGCTCCAAGTCTGAGCAGCTGGGGGCGAGCGGCTCAGCGCCGACCTGGGCACAGGAGGCCAGTAAGAACAAAGGGGCAGAAGCGTTCCTGGCCTTGGCCCCGGAGACCAATGCTGGGAGCGCAGAGGCGCAGACCGACGAGGGGGCACAAGGAACAGGGTGGGGCCGTGGGGCCGCAGACGAGAGCAGGGCTCTGGCGCATGACTTGCCATGTGCTCGCAAGGCACTTGCCTTCTAGACTTCAGGAAGATGGGGTGGCCCCGACCTCACAAGGGTGGGTGAGGGAGAGGACACAACGTGGTCAGGACCCGACCAGGAGTGAGAGAGGGAAGCAGACCTGCCCTCACCACCGCCCATGCCTTCCTCAAGTGTCTTCTAGTGTGAGAGACTGGGGACAAAGTGAGACCACTCCGGAAGCAAGGTGACATGGTGCAAAGACGGCCACCACTTCAGTCAGGCAGGCCTTTCCCAGGGGGTGACAGGTGTGCTGAGACCCATTCAGCTGCACCAAAAGCAGAGGAAAGAATTCCAAGCAGCAGGAGCAGCACGTGAAAAGGTACTGGGGTAGAAAGACCTCCGTGGTTCCAAGAACTGTCAGAAAAGCTCACAGCCTTAGCTGTGAAGACAGGGTGACACTGCTGGGTGAGCTGGGACAAGAGAGGTTTCTTCCCGGCCCACGAGGCCCCTGCAACAGAGCAAAGGGCCATGGAAGACACAAGCCCAGGTAACCCCCTTGGGTTCCCTCCTGCTGTGGGAGCTTTTCTGGTCTCTCTATAAATCCTGCTTCTCACAAAAAAAGACAAGAAAGACACAAGCCCAGTCACCAGCAACTCCAGCCTTCCAGGTGTTAGGCCACACACCAGGGAGTCACCCAGCCCTTGCCTCAGCCTCCCCATCTAGTCTCCCAGCAAATGTCAGCAGCTTCACCTTCACCACAGCCAGAACCCACCAATTCTTCCGGCCTCCTGTCCCCACAGCAGAAACCTTTTTATTCCTTTCTCCAGTCAGCCCTTGGCATCCTGTGAGAAGCTACTGTCACCGGCCTGCTCAGAACCCTCCAGTCACCCCAGACTCACGCCAGGTAAAGGGCAAAATTCTACAAGCCAAGCCTATGTGACTTGGCCATTAATGATCCTCCCTGATATTCCTTTCAAGGGTCCTGCCTTAGGACCTTTGCACATCCCTCATATGCTCCAGGCTTGTGTCAGTGTTAACTAGGAAGCAAGGCCTTCTTTGGACTCCACCTACCCCTCCCAGGCCCTAGTCTTTCCCGAGGTCATCACTTGACACGTTCATGAACCACTTTACTTGCGTCTCTTCCTGGAACCGAAACTCCCAGAGGGCAGACTTAACTCTCCTTGGATCACCACCTCATTCTCAGTGCCTAGTATACTACGTGCTCAGTAAGTATTTCTTAAATTAATGCACAGAAATCAGAGACAAGACACCGAAGACAAAAGAAAGAACTGAAAGGGAGAGACTAGAAGTACAGACAGAAGCCAGACGGCCCCGCCCCCCACCCAGCCCACCAAGAATTGTCACACGCGGCTGTTTTATCCTCCCCCATTACATGTATTCCCACCCCCGCCCTTGCCTAGCCTGTGATCTGCTCTGAGTCCAAAACCCTAGAGCCCTGCGAGTGCTCGAGTGCTAATCCCCAAAGCAGCCCACCACACACCTGGTGCCATCTCAGCTTTTCCACGAAAGACCTTGTGTAACCTCAACAGCCCTGTCAGTTGCTCAACTTAACAGGTGAGGAAAGGAGGCCCCTGGAGGTGGCAGAGCTTGCCCTGAGTCAGGAAGGACGGCGACAGGGCCGGGGATTGCATTCTCACCCGCTGCGCACGCTGCCTGGTGTTTCATAACCACCTGCCCAGACGGCTTCTCAGACGGTGGAAGAGGAGGGAGGTCCAGGGAAAGGGACGGACTCACTGGCACTGGGCTTGTGGCCGCACTTCAAGGCCTCTGCCTCTTACCTGAACCCACCAGGACGTCTGGGTTCCCCAGGGTGACGGCTGCCGTGAAGTCAGAACCCCGGTACTCCCCGTCCACCTGCCAGTTCACGAACTTTGACTGCTGGGTCTGCGGGGGGAGTGGGGTGTGAGGATGGCCTGGCATGTACAGTGGCTCAGGGGGGGCACAGCAGCCTCTGTTCCCTGCTCACCTGGATGGCCATCTTAGACCTGATACCAGGGACCAGCTGGTGAATGACCTGAGCGTTGAGGCTACCGCTGTTGTCCATGTCACCCACCAGCACGGGAAATGCCTGTGGGGCAGAGAGCAAGGGCAGATGTCAGAGGCCCAGAATCATGGAAGGACGCGAGCCAAGGTGAGACGCCTAGAGTCAAAAAGCCTCAGATGGGGTCCCCTCCTTCACAAAACCTTCTCTGACCACCCAAACTAAGTCAGGCTCCCCCTTGAGGCTTTCACAGGCTTTGGGTTGCCCCATTTCATGTCCACCCCAGAGTGTGATTCTCTGGAAACAGGTCTGTCCCCTGGCCCACTGGACAGAGTCCTGTAGCTGTTTCTTTTTCTTTGAGTAGGAGTCTCACTGTCACCCAGCTGGAGTACAGTGGCATGCTCATGGCTACCGCAGCCTCGACCTGCTGGGCTCAGGAGATCCTTCTGCCTCAGCCTCCTAAGAAGCTGCAACTACAGGCACTTGCCGCCACACCTGGCTAATTTTTTATTTATGGTAGAGACAGATGTCTTGCCAAAGTGCCCAGGCTGATCTTGAACCCATGGACTCAGGCAATCCTCGCCTCCAGCTCCCAAAGGGCTGGGATTACTGGGGTGAGCCACCACACCTGGTCCCTGTGGCTGTTTCAATCAGGATGAAGGCTTGTTGAGCAAATGAATTTAGTGAAGAAACAGGAAGAGACCTAATTCAGCCCCTCCCGCTAACAGCAGACCTCCACAAGGCAGCCTGAGAGGTACTTCTGAGGCATAAGTCCTTCAAATCATTTCATGGCTCTCCAGTGCCCCCTAGAGAAAGATCTAGTGCCTAGCCTGGCATTCAAAGTTCTGCATAACCTACACCCGGCGCTGCCCACTCTGGGTGATGATCACTGTGGGGTCAAGGCTGTGGGGTCACATCCCCAGCACTACCCAGCAGCACAAGGCCAGGCGGAGAGCAGGGGCTTGGGGGATGTTTGCTGGACAAAGGAGTCACGTGGTTCCACAGCACCCAGGAGACAGACACCCACAGCTCCGACCTCCTCCTGACAAAGTCTTCTTGACATTTAGCTACATCTTTTCATGTTTTGTTAGACACAGGATCTCGGCTTTGTTGCCCAGGCTGGTCTCAAGCAATCCTCCTGTCTCAGCCTCCCAAGTGCTGGGACTTACAGGCATGAGCCACCGCACCAGGCTTGGCTGCATATTTGCTAGAAAACACAACGGATAAATGACAAAAGGAAGCTCACCTCTGTGGGACTCAGCTGCTTTGTCCCCACATACGTGACCCCGAAGTGGTAGTTGGACTCCCCGATTGTGCTGAGGGCTACTGTATGGTTCACCTGGAAGGGCAGGGCGGGCTGTGAGACCTGACAGCCCGGCCTGCCCACTGGAGAGGTCAGAGGGAAGGTCTCCGGGCTGGGTGCGGGGTGAAGACGAGGCCTGACTGGATCAGACACTCAAAAGGGATGTGCCGGGGGGAGCCACATACTGGGGCTTCACTTCAGCCCAGATGTTACGGGTGGGGGAGTTACCTCTGGATTCTGAGTCCCCAAACTGAGGAGTCAACTGACACCGTGTCCCTGAGTCTTTTCAAGGAGCCCAGCCCTTCGGGGAGGAGCAAGGGGCTTGCCGGTGCAGGTGCATGGCTGGGATGGCCTCGGGAGGACACAGGCACCAGAAAGGCTCACCTGGAAGTGGTTACTCAACCCTTTGTTGACTGTGAGCTTGACACCTTCCATCTGAGTGGGAAACAGCTCTGGAGAAGAGAGACGCTGTCACGCCCCGCTCTCATCTCTCCCTCCGCTCCCAGCAGAACGAGTCACAAAGCATGCCGACCCGGACAGAGGCAGTGGCGCCTGGCAGGTGGGGCCAGGGCCTCTGACTGCGT